CAAGATGCAACAGGTATGACCCCGAGGTTGAACCAATCGAAATTGGTGAGGTCAGGAAGGTCTTTCACCCTTCCAAAACGGGCAATTTGGTAAGAGGCTCGTTCGCGAAAAACAGTGACACTCGAGTAGGCCGACCCTCCCAAGCAATTGTAAAAGTTGAATGCGCAATTAAATCGATCCTGAGTAATCGTCCAATCTGGATTTATTCTGAATCGGTACTGATGATGGACAGACCTCAATATGCTCGCTGATCTGAGGAAAAAAAAATAAAAATTAAATTTGAAGTGACGTCATTTGCTCTCTTCATAGTTGCCTCTTTGGACAGCTAGCTAACTTGGTTTGACTCCCACTTTTATCCAATCCTTTTCCCCAAGAATACTCGTTCGACGCTTACTCTTCAGAGGTACAGACTAGGACCATCCGAAAGGTTATGCTAACAATCAGCTGGATGTTAGGGGAAGGCTTGTCCTTTCATGCGACTCTCATTGCCAGCTCTAAGGATCATTTTTTTTACGCAACTCATACATTTGTTCTAAGGCTCCTTTATAAATTTCAAGAGTGGTTCGGGTGACGTACGGGACTCTGTTGTGACTAGCCATTTTTTGTTCGAATATATAGTTAGTGTCCGACGCGTCGTAACGACATTCCGAAGGCGAAAACTATCCATATGAACTCGGCTTAATGGGGAAACGTGGAGCCCAGTCGTCATAAGTGTGGAGTTTTTACAAGCCCTTCTATCATCTTGTTTGGTATCTCTATGGTCTCCAGTCTCTGTCGTTTAGTATACAGCGTTGTTACCTACAAGCAAACGAAGAACCCTATCTTCCTTTCAAAACATAGACTGCCCTATCCTTGACCACCATGAATTCTCAAGCAAAGCAGTCATCAATGTTACAGTTGGGCGCGTGGGAATTTGCTCACAAAAGATTACTTTGACTTCGAACTTAGGCTTCAATCAATACGTGTGACTGTCATCAGTAGGCTTGATTCCGTCACCTCCTGGATGAGAAGAAAAGATGAAAGAATAACTTCGGCACGACTTTCCGTTCTGCTCCATTGTTCTTCCGAAGGGAAAATGTCATGCTGATTCAGACTACTCATATGAGAATCAAGCCAATTAAATTCTATGAAAAATAACAAATGGCTACTATAACGACGATATGTTTGCGGCCACGGCGCTATTTACTGTTCAAGATGAACGAATTAGGAGAACAAAATGAAAGATGTCCAATAGCCAGGATGACGCAGGACTTGTGGGCCGATTTAAATGTCAAAGACGGTTATCCAGTAGTGCAATTGGGCTCTATCAAACACTATCATCTCAGATATTATGGAAGATTTTCGGCTCGGTCGCGTAATTACTTTCCAAATGATGTTATTCTTTTTGTTGAAGTCTCCCTTTTCATTCGGTCTACTGGATGGATTTGCTAATCCAGTTGTCAGACCGTCTCTCCGTCAAAATCCCAGAGGAAACCCGAAAGATGAGCTGTTTTCCTCTAGTTCCAGTAATTTCTGAACGACAATTTTCTACTTGCAATGAATCCAAGCTGAAGTTTTTCTTTTCTGAGAACTTATTCGAGTTGGCCAATTTGCAGGCTGCACTTGTGCGAGCGATCCCGGCCTTCATCGCCCTACGCCGTCTTCTTTGTGCGTCGTCGTTATCGCCGTTTTTTCTTGTGGTCAGTGAAGGGCGAATTGTGTGCACAGCTCCTTAGCAACTCGTGTGTCCACTGTCTGCTTCTCTGTACATCTCTGTGTGTGTTTGTTTGTTTACTGTGCACTCAGTTCGTCTCACACCCCTCACTCCCACCCACTATACCAGCTCCTCACCCATCCACCCACACCCTACCGGGCGTTGGTGTATGTTGTTAGTGCACGAGTCGCGCGCCCGCAGCCCCGGCGCTTGGCGTCACTATTTCAAGAAAATCTCTCGAACGAGTTTTTTTTTTCGCGATGAAAGTTGAATAAACAAAACAGAAGAACTACACTTACGAGCTTCAAATAGCCGTTGATGTTCATCTCTTTGAAGACCTCATTCTGCAAAAGAAAAGAGTTCAACTCAAAAGGGCAAAAGAGAAAAAGTGAGCAGCTGACGAACCATCCACATCTGTCGGACACCGGCATGAAGCACCTGCACATCAAGTGTCTCTCCAGCGGCTACGGTAGGTGGTAGGAGCATAAGTGAGTTGCTTTTACCTTAATGAAAGGCCATTAGAGCAGAGGCAGGTTGTTTGGTCAGCCGTAAGTTACACGACGACAGGACTGACCTTGCATTTGATCGGCATCCTTCGTCAGTTTGTAGAATAGGCATTCTTCAAGCACCTGGTATTTGTGATGAGCGATATCGGAGATGTCTGAAACTACAGCGAGTAACTTGAGCATTACCTAACAAAGTTGAGTAGTCAGGTTGAACCATATGAGCTACAGCGATTCGGTTCCACTGCCTTCATCACAACAGTATAAGGTGGGGATCTAACGAAGTTTGACCCCCACTTCAAGTTCTTGTTTCTTGAATTAAATAAGTATAGCGATTAAACTAGTTCCAGTAAACTGGTAGGCCACTTAGCGGTAATGATTGAGAAAATATACCTGCTCTTTACCCAGATGCTGCCGCTACATTCGCCCTCCCTCTCTTGTAGTGGGTAATATGCTTCCTATGGGTTTTGCCACAACACCTCACGGCTTCTCAGTCATCGAGATCTTAATGTTGCCTTGGATGTAAACGAGCAGGCAAGCGAGACTTTTTTGTTTTTCTAGAAATACCATAGGTCCATTGAGTTGACTATGCCAATGTTTGGGTAGGTTCATCTTGTTTGTATTCCATCCAAAAATCTTTACTCACGACTAGCTATGAGCTAATTATGAATTAAACTTTTCACAACAGAATGCTATTTGATACCCTTTATAGCCCAACGGTGATGACACTAATTAATCATGGGTTTCTATGAAACAAAACGCAAATAAAAAGGGTATTGCATAGTAAAATGAATATAGTAAATAACTACAGTAATCGAGCACAATAAGCAATAGCATCTCCTCTCTTTCCACATCAATGGTTCCACTGAAGTTAGCCTGCTAATGTTCTGTTCGGATTCAAGCCCACAAACGCTTTTTTAGGGTCCACCCTCTTAACGGGCCTCTTATTACTGTTGATCGATGTTACACTGTTGATGAAGGTCGGTTGCACATCCGACAAGTAATTTTCAAGAGTAATTCATTTTTCAATTTACAGTAAGTGCGAAAATAATAGAAACAAGTAGTAAGTAAGAAAATGTGTAAAGGCTCTCGAGCCTGTGAAAGAATTACCTAGAGAGTGCATAGCTCTCAACTTCAATTATAGCAATCGAATGCTAGAAGAAACTTTTCAACAGAGAGGCCAAACTGATGATGAAGTAGGAGATGCCCACGTTTCTTCCTATTTCTACGAGAAATTCTTAGAAAACTGCATCATCGCTGGTAGCATCGTCAAAATTGAATTTGGAAGGTGAATTAAACAACTGTCGTTTGGAAGAAGGTAAAACATTCATAGGTCTGGTATGGGAAACTGAATTTTTGAATAATTTGTATTTTCTACCCCTACCATTTCTGACCGCCGATGAGATTATTATGATTCTCGTAACTTCCAAAGGGAAGTCGAATGCAAGGGAATACCCCAAAACCGACTTTATTAAAAACTTTTTTACTATGTCGATTCATCGACCATCGATATTAGACCGAAAGGTGTCTATGAATAATACTTCATTCTATTGTGTTGATTGTGATAAGTGATCTAGGGTTGTTTTGATTACGCACCAAAACAATCAGGGTATAATAAGAACCCTCTTAGGCAGTAGGGTTCACTTCACTTTACTTTACTTCATTTCTCATCTCACTGGATCGGCGTTGGCATCAATAAAGTTGNATATCACTGAACCACTGAACCACCATCAAATCAGTTCGGACATTCAGCAACTGTGTATTCTCTACAATTACCTGCCATTAATCACTATTAGTGTCAGTAACAACCTGTGTACGAAAGTGCCCTGTAAAGTTCTAGACTACTCCAAGGACCGCTAGCCTTATGTTGGATTCAGATTCAGCTTGTTTATTGAAAGTCGAAGATTACTATAAGTATTTTGACTTGGAAACTTACAAAATTGCTTGACCTTTCTTTTTTCATTTCAGGGTTACACCGATGAACGACATTTTGTTGCTGATCAATGGCCGATTACGACAAGTGCCTACAAATGTTGCGGCTGCTCTAAGAGCATATTGAATTGTAAATCTGTGTTGCATAAACATGGGAAAAGCTCGTGAGTCCATGCTTACGGATCAGTTAGATTAGTTTCATGAAAATATTGAAATCTATAGTGTTACGAAATTGTATAAGATTATGTGCTAACAATAAATATAATCGGTAAAAACGATGCAATACAGGAGTTCTGTGGATCAGCTTACTGGCCTTCATTGTAGTTTTAATATGCAGTTATTCAAAGAAATAAAACTTGCTAATGAGGCGATGCAACATTTGCTTCGGGACGCCGATAACATTTTCACGCTCTGGGGATAGAATCCTTGTCTGTCCTCGAATCCGATATTGATAAATCAGGGTGCCTCAGAATGGTTCATGACACTTGTCACAAGCTACAAATTCGTGCCCTGACCTGGAAGTATGTACCCAGGTGCTGACCATAGGGACTTGAAAGCTCATCAGAATCAGAAACTAATCGGAAACTCATATGAGAGGCAAAAATAGAAATAGATGAGGCTCTGCGAACTTTGTTATGGTCTTAGCAAGCCTGACCTATTCCGTGGGGATGTTTCCAATCTCTGTCACCGATTTTTATCTTCGCGGTTCTATTCTGACTTGAAATAGGTATGGCTATCATATGGCGACCACAACTTTTCCTCCCTCGCTATTCTTGGACGATGCTGAAAGACGGGAGCACAAGACTGGCCTTCAGCCGCTCTATTGTAGACATTCAAGTCGCGTACCACTTTTTTCGTTAAAAGTGAAAGTTCCCGTGCATTTACCCACTCCTTTGACTGTCTCGTGCCCATGTGCAAATGCAGACTAGATCGACTTCAATTTTTGTTCTTTTAAAAGCTTTTTGAAAGACAGCTCCGAAAGGTCATTTGACATTTGATGAGGTTCATTTCGAGCACCTTCAATTGCAGAAAAGCAGGACAAACAGTAGAGTACTACAGTTAAGTCCTCCTCAATATGATGAATCCTCGAAACATTTGCAGGTAGTGTCATTAAAGAAAAACAATCAGGTAAAAATTATCAGGTCGTGTTAGATTCACACCCTACCCATTATGGAAGTGGATAGGCGGAGCCAATATGCAATTTATTGAACTAATTAACTCAATTGGTAATCGCATTACAGTCTTTATTATACTATATGTAGACGATGCCAACTGTAGGGCCGTCAGGGTGATGTGGCGTAGACACGTGGAAGAGCTTGACCGCACTTGACTTTGTCTAGAGCCATGCGTGGTTAGGCTCTTCCACTGGCTCTAGACAAAGTCAAGTGCTTGTCGTGGAACCCTCGAAATTAGGTATCATATTCGTTCGGCTGGTAGTGAGCTGGCCTGATTATTCTCAGGGCTCCGCACTAATCACTTGTTACAGAACATAAATATTGAAAATACAGATTATATATACAGTTCTCTGTAAGAAGGAAAGTTTTGAGGGTTCCCCACCATGTTGGCCCTACCCCCTACTTGATCTTGATGGCAAATCCTGAAAACTGCTGGAAAAACAAATAGAATGATGATGGGGGAGGGGACTGATTCCGGATTAAGTTCCTCCTGAAATATCCAACCTCCTAGTCGATGAGCTTGAACGAGGCTCTAGTGACAAACAAAAACACTGAACCGTATACAAACAAGCTGTCGTAGTTCATTGTTCAGGTCCGGTACCCATTCAAACACAGTCAAGCATAAAATGGGTGTGGCATGCATGGCTCATCCCAAAATCAGCTTAATTACGGTGTTTTTTAGTTTTCATCTAATTGAAACATGATATTTTTATGCTTACTGAAAACCTCTACAGCATTTCTTAGACGACCGTCGATATTACAAGGGGGACTCCAACAGTTTAGCTCGAATAATCTTACTCGGATGAAGAGATTTTGGAAATTTTAAAATTCTCCCAAAAATTCTGAAATTTGTTTTGTTAAAAAGGTATAGGAAATCGATGCGGGAGCAGGCGAAGGTTTTTATGCTCTGAGATGACCCTGGACCGGTCTCGTCTTGCAGGGAACCTTTTGTTCAACCATTTGATCATCGAAGCTCAGCTTTTTCCTCACCATTTATCATTTCGATGGCCAATATGAATGGGATCGTTGAGACCGCCTGCCTTCCCGGACTTGCCGGTAGGCTCCCAGCCTGTTCCAACCGCGGTTCCTCCTCGTCGGTCTGACCGACCGCCATGACTCGCTCCCTGTGCACGATATGACCGTGAAATGCGATGCAGCGCTCACGAAATCCGACTGGTTTCGTGAAGTTCACTAACGGAGGATCGCTTGGGCGAAGCGATTCTGCCACTCAGCCAAATTCATAAGAAATCCTCATCAAGCCTCTTGAGATGGAGCGAGAATACGGATCGACTCATCGATGTTGACCTCGGAAAGCAGGTTTTGTGAAAGCCATGAAATCCTCATCAAGAACTCGCCTGAAGAAGGGGAGGGGAGGGCGAGGGGGTGGATTCATGTGGGCGATAACGGAAAAGCTCTCGTTGAGGGAATTGCCGGCCGAAAAACCCTATAGGCCCAAATGAAGAGGAGGTGTTTCGTATCAAGTAAAATATGATGCATCCTCGCTCGTGCCTACTCGTTTACTTATGCTGGTTGGAGGTCGCACAATGGGTTTTTTTCATTGCGCAACCTATTTTGAGTGGACGTAATTGTAGGCGCATTACGCTCGCTGTATAGCGTGTAGACAGACCTCGTAGAGAGGTCGACGACGATGGGGCGACGATGACGATTCATCCTCGCCGGCTCTCGGCTCAGCGCTACGTGTCTACATGAATGAAAGACAAAGGCCGAGGGGTCAGTCGTCGATGACAGGACCACACGTCAGCGGCTTGAGAACAGCTTTTGCTCCTCCCTGATTAGGGTGAGAGGATCTGGGCTGTTCCACGTGGGAACAAAATCGGTCAATCGGAAAACATGTTCAAAGTGTGTAACTACTTGGGTTCAGGTCTGGGGTTAGATGTGGCTAGCTTTTTCTCTAAAAGGAGGTACTTGGAGGGGGAGTTTCTTCAGAGGGTTTTCAATAGAGGCTCTTTTTTAAGGTCCCATCGTTACTCGAGCTTCAAAAGCGCTCCCACTTACCTCTTATATACGGTTACGCTCCCTTACCATTTTTGGGTGCACTTTGACTACCATTATAGCCGT